CCCTTCCCCCCCAGGGGCACCTGTTCCAAACCCCCCAAAGTGAACACACACACACATACCAGAAAAGTACAATGAATATAGGAAAGGGAAATATTTATTCACAGAATGAGGACAGGTGAAAAACAACAGGGGGAAATATAGGGGAAGCAGTAAAACAGGGTTGCATTCAACACAAGGCCCCATAGGCCCAGTGGTACAACAGTCTGCACCAAGCAATGTGTTTGCACACAGAGTTCAAGAGTCCTGGGCAAAGTCCAATCCAGTGGTGAGTCTTGGGTGCTCCTGGCTGTCTTCGGTGCCAGTAAACTTTCCCCAACAAACCCCTCTACTGCCCTCTTCTGCCGCTCTCTGCAAAGCCACACAGAGCGACCACCTCCCCAGGCTCAACAAGCTAACAGCTTCCCTCCTTGTTCCCAGTGCAGAGTCACAAGCCCCAGTACTCACAGCCCCATGCAGCTCTGGGCAGCCGTGATACTGGGTCCAGTTCCGGCCTGTCCTTCTCGGGCGATTCCTCCCCGGCACAGTGCTCCTCCTGGCTCCTGTCCCGGGGGGGTCCCCGATCAGCCGCTCTGTCCCTCCCAGGCTTCAGCAGGTTCTTGGCTGCTTCACTCTGTGAGGGCCTGCTTGCTGCAGCCCTTCTGTCTGGAGCTCCAGACACACACCTTCTTGCTCTTCCCTCGCTCTCTACTCCCCTTCCCCCCAACAGCACTTCCTCCTTCTGGAACAATCAGCACTTCCCCCCTCAGGAAAAAGATTTAAAGGGCCATGCTCTCTGAACCCCAAAGGGGTTACAGCAGGGGCCTATCTTTGTTTTGGTGGAGTTACATCCCCCATTGTCACCGCAGAGATCCAGGACAGCACCCTCAAAGCCAAGCACTCATAGGAGTGCAAAGACTTTTTTATTTCACAAGATGAGGCACAGTAAAGTTAAGAACAATACAGAATGGGGAAAGTGGTGGACATGATATATCTTGACTTTAGCAAAGCTTTTGTTATGATCTCCCACAGTAGTATTGCCAGCAAGTTAAAAAAGTATGGGCTGGATGAATGGACTATAAGGTGGATAGAAAGCTGGCTAGATCAGCGGGCTCAATGGGTAGTGATCAACGGCTCGATGTCTAGTTGGTAGCCAGTATCAAGTGGAGTGCCCCAGGGGTAGGTCCTGGGGCCGGTTTTGTTCAACATCTTCATTAATGATCTGGATGATGGGATAGATTGCACTCTCAGCAAGTTCACAGATGACACTAAGCTGGGGTGGGAGGTAGATATACTGGAGGGTAGGGATAGGGTCCCGAGTGACCTAGACAAATTGGAGGATTGGGCTAAAAGAAATCTGATGAGGTTTAACAAGGACAAGTGCAGAGTACTGCACTTAGGATGGAAGAATCCCATACACTGCTACAGGCTGGGGACCAACTGGCTAAGCGGCAGTTCTGCAGAAAAGGACCTGGGGATTACAGTGGACGAGACGCTGGATATGAGTCAACAGTGTGCCCTTGTTGTCAAGAAGGCTAATGGCATATTGGGCTGCATTAGTAGGAGCATTGCCAGCAGATCGAGGGAAGTGATTATTCCCCTCTATTCGGCACTAGTCAGGCCACATCTGGAGTATTGCATCCAGTTTGGGCCCCCCACTACAGAAAGGATGTTGACAAATTGGAGAGAGTCCAGCAGGGGGCAACTAAAATGATTAGGGGGCTGGGGCACATGACTTACAAGAAGAGGCTGAGGGAACTGGTGTTATTTGGACTGCAGACGAGAAGAGTGAGGTGGGATTTGATAGCAGCCTTCAACTACCTGAAGGGGGGTTCCAAAGAGGATGGAGCTCGGCTGTTCTCAGTGGTGGCAGATGACAGAACAAGGAGCAATGGTTTTAAGTTGCAGTGAGGGAGGTCTAGGTTGGATATTAGGAACCACTATTTCACTAGGAGGGTGGTGAATGGGCTAGCTAGGGAGGTGGTGGAATCTCCATCCTTAGAGGTTTTTAAGGCCTGGCTTGACACAGCCCTGGCTGGGATGATTTAGTTGGTGCTGATCCTGCTTTGAGTAGGGAGTTGGACTAGATGACCTGCTGAGGTCTCTTCCAACCCTAATTTTCTATGATTCTACCATTTTAAAAGGCTCTACTTTTTAGAGTCTCTGGCCTGATACTGAATTCTCTTGAGATCTGGTGCTGGATGATGGAGCAGAGAGTATGCTTATAAAATCTGTGGATGACACCAAGCTGAGAAGGGTTGCAAGCATTTTGGAGGACAGAAATAGACTTTAAAATGATCTTGATAAATTGATTTCAGATCAGTTCTTCAAGATGAAATTCAATAAAGACAAGTGCAAAGTACTACCCTGAGGAAGAAAAACTCAAATACAATCTGGAGAATAACTGGATAGGCAGTAGTACTGCAGAAGAAGATCTGGGGGGTATAGTGGATCACAAATTGAATCTCAGCCAACAGTGTGGGGCACTTGTGAAGAAGGCTAATATTCGGGGGTGTATTAACAGGAGTGTTGTACGTTAGACACAGGAGGTAATTGCCCTGCTCTGCTGGGCAGTGGTGAAGCCTCAGATGAAGAACCTGTGTCCACATTTTAAGAAAGATGTGAACAAACTGGAGGGTGTCCAAAGGAAAGCTACAAAAGATTTTAAAAGCCTGATCTGTGAAGAAAAGTTTAAAAAAACTGGGCATGTTTAGTCTTTACTGAGAAGAGAGTACTGAAGGATGACCTAGTAAGTCTTCAAGTATGTTAAGGACTTTTATTAAGAGGATGGCGATCATTTGCTTTCCTTGTCCACTGAAGATAGGACAAGATAATCAGCTTAATCTGCAGCAAGGGAGATTTAGGTTAGAAAATGTTTCCTAATATCTAACTATAAGTATAATTAAGTACTGGAAGAAGTTACCAAGGGAGGTTGTAGAATCCCCATCATTGGAGGTTTTTAAGATCAGGTTACTCAAACACGTTCTAGGTAATCTCTCGAGGCCCCTTCCAGCTCTACACATCTATGATTCTATGCACTGTGGGAAGCTGCTTCGAAATATTCAGACATCCAGACAGTGAGAAAAAGGTTTCTGCCCAATTTCAACAAAAACTATATCTGATGTTTAAATTTAATGCCTGTGAAAACTGCTAGATTAGAGGTTTCATAGTTTCATAGTTTCATAGATTCTAGGACTGGAAGGGACCTCGAGAGGTCATCGAGTCCAGTCCCCTGCCCGCATGGCAGGACCAAATACCATCTAGACCATCCCTAGAACCTTTTTCACTGCATGGGTCACATTTAAATACCAAGAGCATCTTGTGAATACCACCCCTTCCACTTGCTGTTTTGTGAATCATGTTCACTCCTGTTGGCAGTCTCGTTATACCCCTGTGGCAACTTGCTGACACAGGAAAGGAATTGTAGGAATTCTTTAATGTGATTTGGCTGGTGGGGGCAAAAAAAAAAGAAGTCATCACCATGTGACCAGCCATCTCTCTGTGCATCACCAGATCAGTTTGGGGAACCTCTGTTATAGAAGAAGTCCTGTATTTATACACAGAACAGATATAACACAGACAGTGGCAGTACAAACTTTCCCACGTCTCCATCAACATGCCACAACCCTGACTTAGCTAGAACACTACTAGGAGTGAGACATTAGCTTAGCCTCCATGCTATTCAATCCATAAGCTCACTGATGAGACTGCCAACTAGGTGGCCAACTGTTGCCAACTGTGGTGGTGTTTTTTATGATGTAAACTTATTCCTAATGCATTGAACATTGGTATGTTCCGGCCTGTATCCTGTAATGCAAAAAGAAACCTTACAATGTAAGGACCTGACCTTGTGGACTCTAACTCACAGGTATAGCTCCTTCTCACACAAATAGTCCCATTTGAAGATAGTTGTTCTGCACATGGGACTACTCCTGTGAGTAGAGGTTTTTAGGATCAGGCCATAAATGAAACAGACACATATGGATCAGAAATAAAATTTACCAGCTGACCAGAAGAAAGTTCAACCTGAAAAGGGTGCCAGGTTTTTTTTAACGTTCTTTCTTGTCTACTGTGAACTGGACTGAAACCCCAAGGAAGCAGATCTCCAAATATTCAAGAGATATGTGTCTCCCACATCTCCTGATAAAGGGACTCTTTCCCTCTTGCCCCACATACAGAGTTCTCCAGTGTCCTCTCCAGTTACTAAAACTGAGCTCTGCAGGAGGTCCTCAGAGGAGAGAACACCCCCCCACTCTCCCCTCTTAAGAGTGTCCTTTTTAATATTAACCAGATAGGTAAATGTAAGACAACAGTGGTGAAAAGGGTTGAGAAAGTGGGAACGAATTATTTTTATGTAATATTTCAGGGCATCATATTGGAGTTGATGTTTATTGAAACTATATACACACACGTGCAATGTTTTCTCAATACAATTCATCATTTCTGTTTGAGCAGATATGCATAACATCATCATATTGCCACTTCCAAGGAGGATAAATTAAACCAAAATGCTTGAATAAGGCGAGAAGCTAATACGTTGCTGCTGGTGGTTCCTCAGAGCATCCTGTCTTACTTCCTTTTGCTCATTTTCTCTAATCATAAAAGAAACCCACAGTCATTTAAAAAAGATGAAAAATGTAAAACTCATGGAGGGTAAAGTTTCCATGCATGAGTAAAATTGCCAACTCTGAAGCTGCCGAGAAATATGCTTTAATTTAGGAGACAAAAGATAGCATTAAGGAAAAATTGTCATAATCAAAGGTGAAAGGATTTTCTATTGTCTAGTCACGCTCTCTGTGGGAATTTTCCCAGCACAGACAGCTGTAAAGGGGGAGGGGTATTATGAGCTTCTACCTCCTCATTCTCCCTCTCTTTCCCTCTCCCTCTCTGTCAATAAATGTCTGCAATCATATTCTTGAGCTCCCATGTGATTTCAAGGTTCATCTCTTCCATGCAGCTCAAACACTAATTATCCCAGCTGTAATTAGTAAGATAATTAAATACTGGCTCACTCATCACTCTACCTTGTGTCGGGTCATGATTCTCCCAGAAGACCTTGAGCAGTTTCTGAAATCTGATGTTTTCTGGCTGATATACTACTCGCACCGCTTCTGTATGGCCAGTTTTCCCTAAAAAGACAATACAAAACTCGACAGTATTAGTAACAATCAACTCAGGCCTATCCAAGACATGAAGCACAGTATTTTTGCTTTCCAAAACACAAAAAGGTAATGTACTTGTGTTTTCACCTAACATCATTTTTTAGCCCCAGCTTCCTTTACAGATTCTTTTATGACAGTATCCACAGTCAGACAACTGCACGTTTGGATAAGGCCCATAATGGACTAAACTAACTGGAAGCAAACCTGAGAAGAATAAGAGCAACCTTATCATAGGAGTTCAGCGACTTTCAGAAAAATGTAAATGCAAATTCTGGGTAAATATTTCTTAAAATATATGAAAAGTAACTGAAGGCAAAAAACAAATTCCACGAGCCTGTTATCCAGTATCAAACACATGGCTGCAAACGATCCTGTATTGCCCACACCACAGAATACCAATGGGCTTCAATGAAAGGCTCTAAGTGAGTGACTGAGCACTATGACAGCAAATGAAATTCAAGGGAGTGCAAGGCAATGCACACTGAACGAGATTATTTCCTAGTTTTGGCTACTTTATGTGCCCTATCCTGCAGCCCTTACACACCCAAGCTCCCACTGATTGTATTGAAAGTGCTAGCTTCACAAAGCCTGCAGAATCAGGCCAGTTAACTTTCGTTTATTATAATTATTTAATATTTATATTACCATAATGCACATACTCCTCAGTCGGGATCAGGCCCCCATTGTGAGAGGTATTGTACAAGCATATACAAAGAGTTTTCAAATGAAGAAATATTTTCCTTTATTAGAGTAAACTTTCAATAAGTAAAAAAATACATATTCTATTCTCTGGCGAAATCGACATTTTCAACATCAATAAAAGGCACTGGACAAGGCAAAAGAATAGCCAGTTCTACATTTTCTTGGGGAGGGGCGTGCACTGCTTGAACACACTGAGCTAGACTTTGATCTCAGACACCAGTTAAATCTAGATTAATTCAATTCACGTCAGTGGAACTGCTCTGGATTTACGGCAGTGAAACCGACCGAAGAATCTGGCCTGCTGATGGGGTTCTGAATTAGCCGCTACTGTTCTAAGTGTCATTGGGGAGAACTCTGTGAAGACATTAGCTCAATGCACAGCAGAACTGAAAAAAAAGTCAAAAGGGATAGAGAATAACAGGGGAAATATATGATGGCATTATATCAATCTTTCCAACCTCAAATACTGCAATCATTTGTGGTTGCTTTATCTCAGAGCTGCAATAAAGAAGGGCAAGGAAATGAGAAGCAACGTAAGGCAAAGGGAAGAGTACAGGTTAGACACAAGAAGAGATTTAAAATATGAGGATTAAATTTAATCTGGAAGGCAGAAAAGTAAAAGGGGATATGACAGAAGTGCACTATATACAATCATAACAACTACAGTGAAATCCAACTGATTCTATGTGTCCTGTCTCATAACACAACAAAGAGACACTCACTGAGATTAGTAGCAAATACAAGGAAATTATTTTATACATAGCATATAAACCAAGCTATCCTCCTCTGCAGGATATTAATCAGACAAACACAGTGAGGGCCCAATTCTACCTTCACCTGTGAAACCAATGAGAGTTACTCGTATGTCTGAAGGCAGAATTCGACACTAGGTTAACAGAGAAGGATTAGACATTTACATGAATAAAAATAATTTGCAGTTTAACTTGGTTATAAATTGACATGGGCCTCCGACCAGGGTGACCAGATGTCCCGATTTTATAGGGACAGTCCTGATTTTTGGGTCTTTTTCTTATATAGGCTCCTATTATCCCCCAGCCCCGTCCCGATTTTTCACACTTGCTATCTGGTCACCCTACCTCCGACATACAGTATAAACTGACTGCTAACTGGGGTCAGCAAGGGAGATTTTCGCCCTATAGAATATCATTACATAATTGGCCAGAAGCATTAGGAAAGGACGACAGGGGCTTTCACCTTCCTTGATGCACAAGTATAGGGTAATGCCTCCACCTATACTAGAGGAGCAGACTAAATGGCTGGTCTGTTCCAATATGGCATTTATGACATCTCTATGTAGAGTGCCTCATGATGAAAGCTAAGGGAATGGCTGCTAACAATATATATTTCCTCTTTTCTTTAACTCAGTGTGAAATTTACAAGAGGGTCTTATCTCACCGAAAGGCGTAAATAGCACGTCTAAGGTGACCAGCTTTAGATCAGAAGACAGTGTCTCAAAGAACTTCAAAACAACAGAGGTTCCACCTTTCCTCACAACTGAAGCAATTATATCTTGTCAACATACTTTGTTCTGACTAATCTAGGAACTCAAAGAGTCAGCTCTCTACTTTTCCTCTGAACAAGAAAATCACTGTGTTGCTTTGAGAACTATGGTCTGACCTCAAGAAAAACCCCTTGTGATATGTGGCTACAGGACAGTGTGGGTTGTTAGAACTTAAGAATGTCTAAAACCAATATCCCTCCTCAGACGAAAAACAAGGGCATGATGTCTGTTGGCCTTCTCAGATTCACCTTTAATTTTCCTCAAAGCCTTTTCATAATAAACTCTACTCTGAACCCAGTGGATTTTCTTCCCTAACATGGCATGAAAGTTACTGCTGCTCACAGCATCATTAACTGTCATTCCACACTCAGAGCACTTACCTGCAAGGTGCTGAGCTGTTTCATTTCCCACTGACTTTGATGGATACCTCAGCAATGATTTTGCTATACATAAGCAGACAAGCAGGAGGCATCATGCAGTATTGGGTGCTTTGAGCTGCATTTGAAGGAGCACATAGAGCAGGTGTGGCAGGGGAACCAATGGAAACAGGGCTCCTGTGGGTATGTCTGCACTCCAGCTAGGAATGAGCCTCCAAGCCGGGGTAGACAGGCTTGTGCTAGTGGGGCTCAAACTATGCTAGAAATAGCAGTGGGATGTTGCACATTGGGCTGGAGCTGAGGCTCTCAAGCCTAGGGAATTGGGTGGGCTTGAGGACCCATGCTGGAAACCAAACTGGAAAGTCCATGCTGCTATTTTTAGCACGCTAGCTCGAGTCAGTGGTTCACAGTGTTCTCAGTTCACCTATTCCCCTTGATTAGCTGGTTTTTACTAATCACCATAAGGTCTAATACGCTATTCAGAACCAAGCTTCACTTTAATTTCCAAGAGGAAGTTTTAACAAGTATTAATATTTTTATAAACCTTCCCAAAAAACGCAACAAAGTTTAAATCAGTTTTTAAAGTAGTTTTCTGTATCACTGAATATAATTTAAGTTGGTGTTAAATGGGCAAACACAAATCCTTTATTTATAGGTTAATCAGAGTAGCAGCCGTGTTAGTCTGTATCCGCAAAAAGAAGAGCAGGAGTACTTGTGGCACCTTAGAGACTAACAGATTTATTAGAGCATAAGCTTTCGTGGACTACAGCCCACTTGCATCCGAAGAAGTGGGCTGTAGTCCACGAAAGCTTATGCTCTAATAAATCTGTTAGTCTCTAAGGTGCCACAAGTACTCCTGCTCTTCTTTTTATTTATAGGAGCAATTATCTGATACCCCACTTTCCACGGACAACTCTCCTTCAACTTCAAAACAAGCTTAGCCATCGGAGAACTTAGCCGTAGATTGTGAGACTTTATTACACTGTTCATGAGAGGACTGTTTGCCAACAGCTGGTTGTCTGTTTAGCCTATATCTATTTGCTACTTGGAAAACATAGCCAGTCTCCAAGGATTAGCAGCAGTGTGCTGTTTCAATGGAGAGTCAAACTCTGGCAAAAAAAGCTCCAGGACAGAGAAATAGAAAGAGACATCTGTATCTGTGTGACACCTCAGTGTTTCTTGTCAACTTTTTCTTTATAACAATGTTTAGATTCTCACCTATTTAACTATTTTTGATAACCTTTGGTTTAAAAAAAAAAGACTATGTATTAGGGTTGCCAACTTTCTATTTGCAGAAAACGGAACACCCTTGACCCACCCCCCGCCCCGCCCCTTCTCCAAGGTCACGCCCACCCACCTCATGCCATCCCCCCTCCCTCCATCACTCGCTCTCCCCCACACTCACTCATTTGCTCATTTTCACCGGGCTGGGATAGGGGGTTGGGTGTGAGAGGGGGTGAGGGCTCTGGCTGCGGGCTCTGGGTGGGGCCAGAGATAAAGGGTTTGGGGTGCAGGAGAGGGCTGCAGGCTTGGGTAGGGGGTTGGGGTGTGGGAGGGGGTACGGGCTCTGGGCTGGGGGTGCATGCACTTACCTCAGGCGGCTCCCGGGAAGCAGTGACATCTCTCTCCGGCTTCTAGGCAGAGGCATGACCACATGCCTCTGCGCACTGCCCACGCCTGCAGGCACCACCCTCTCGGCTCCCATTGGCAGTGGTTCCTGGCCAATGGGAGCTGCTGAGTTGGCTCTAGGGGTGGGAGCAGTGCACAGAGCCCCCGTGGCTATCCCTCTGCCTAGGATCCAGAGGGAGATGCCGGCAGCTTCCCGGGAGTCACACGGAGCTGGGTAGGGCGTCTGCCTGCACCACCTACCGGACTTTTAATGTCCTGGCCAGCGGTGCTGACTGGAGACCAGGCATTCCGGTCGAAAACCGAACACCTGTCAACCCTACTATGGATACATAGATTAGAATTGCACTTTGTGACAACTGCATTATGGACTCAAAACTGTTATCTCATCTCGTTTTCTGATGTGCATACCCATGTGGCTTGTGCACCAAGTTGCAATGTGGAAAACTCCCAGATTTACAACTAGCTTAATTTTTCCCTCTGTCCTAAGTAATTTCCCTTTACCAGCGGTGATATGTGTTGTTTTACTGACAATACTACCCCATTTTATATTTTTAGTATAGGAGTGGCAGAATACTGGGTCAAAAACCCTAAGAACTTGGGTGGCAAAATCAATGATAGCTGTCGGTGATCAATATAAGAGACCGCTAGCCCCTATATCTCAATTTTCCCCTCTGTACAGGAGGAAATGTACCTACCCCACAGCATGCTGTCAGGCTTAACTGGGAGCAAGTACACTA